AATAAGCGAGGACTAGGCCACGAGTGACATCGCGGATGAAGCGTTGGAAGGTTTGTGCGGCGTTGCACAGTCCAAATGGCGTTCTTAAAACTCAAACAAACCGAAAGATGTTCTACCGGCTGTTTAGAGCATTCATTTTCTTCTACAGCTATGTGGTGCCAGGCGCGAACCAGATCGCTCTTGCTGAAGGTCGTCTTACCTGTGAGGCATGCGGTAAGGTCCTGCATGTGTGGGATGGGATACCTATCTGGGACTGTTAGCCGGCTGCGTGCGTTGTAATCATCATAAGGGCGCCAGTCACCAGGTTTCTTGCGGACCACCTGCAGCGACGAGGACCAAGGGCTGTTGGAAGGGCAGATTATTCCAAGTTCAAGCATGTGCCCAACCTCCGCCCTAGCTACCTTTAGTAGCTCAGGCGATGGTCGGCATGGACCGCATGACACAAGTGGGCCATTCGTCCGTATGTGGTGCGTGACTAGAGCTTCCACGGGCACAGCTGCATTTATTGGCTGAACGAGCTTGGAATACCAAGAAAGGTGGGTAGCGTAGTCTGGCGAGGTCTGGGGAAATGCACAGACCTGTGTTATAGATGTGACATCGGCGGTGATGCCACGTACACTGGGTTTCGGTGCAGTGCATACTATCATCTGGCGTTTCGCATCAAACAAGAGGTTGCAGTGACTGCGAAGGTAAATGCCGATGATGGAATGGGAAACTGCAGCGACGGTGAATACCAAGCGGAACGTGTGCAGAAGACCTAGGTCCAGGGTAAGTGACCGATGACCGTAGGTGGCTATTGGCTTGCCTTTGGGGGTACTGAGGCTTGTCGACAAAGAAGAGATAAGTGCACTTGGCATTGGTGATGATGCTGAATTCCGCCCCGATAGCAACTAAGAACTGGGTCTCGGAACCATACTTTCTAATGTGGATCAAACGACGTTGGGCTCTGCCCACCCGCTTGGCCATTATGGGCAGGCGTGACGACTCATCTATAGCGGAGTAGTTACACAGCTGCACGCATCATCATTATCATCAATGTACACATCAGCTAGAGGTGGGAAAACACCTCCGCTATTGTGCCGCAAAACATGAAAGAAATGATTGGCGGCATCCGGTTTCGGAGTTGCCTGGCACGGTGGCAAGCCACAGGACGCCTGCGCCTACAGAGGGACCATGGATGGCTTGCGCTGCACCACCCACAGCTCCAACAACACACCCCATGTCCAGCGTAAACCCGAAGGAATAAGACCGGGAGGCATGTGGATGGGAACCACGTTTCCTCAACGGAGCCGACCCACACTGCTTCATAGGCAAACACAAGGACACTGTATTTAAGAATCAAGCGCACACAAGGCGGTGGCTGGACCGTAGTCCGCTCCACACTGACTGCATGGAACCACTCGTGGATCCTAACACGGCCACAAGGACCGTGCACCCCGTCCCCTCCAGCAACGACCAACTGTCTCCTGGGGGCAGTGTGGACGAGGTAGTGGGTAATAGACAGGTAGGCACCTTGTCAACATGCACATCAAGCGCATCCCCACCGGGGATATCAAACAACCACCAAACACTTGAGAGAGAGAGAGAAAGAAAAAGAGAAAAGCTCGATTAATGCATAAGGAAACGGTGATATAAATCTCAATTAAATAGCATATGTAATAAGTTGTTTACAAACAGATCCTAGCTAAGTGCACGAGGTCAGGAAGTATAGTTCACGGAATGCTACGAACACAAAAATGTTATGGAAATCGAATACAATTGGCTTAGGCGATGTGTGCAAATTAATGGAATAGAGTACAGGTAGACATTTATATGAGAAAGAGAAGCATTAATGCAAAATTGAAAACCCACCATCTGAAATAAAGAGACTTAGCATGCAAGCACGCGGTTAGTAAATCGAATTCAGCGTGCCTACAAACGCTGCGCCGGCTCGCCGTAATTCTCTGCAGGACCCGTCGTCGCTTCTGTAGTGGCCCCAAAGAACCTAGCTCATGGCCCACTAGACATTTATATGAGAAAGAAAGGCATTAGGAGAGAATCGAAAACCCACCACCTGAAATAAAGAGACTTAGCATGCAAGCATGCGGTTAGTAAATCGAATTAAGCGTGCCTACAAACGCTGCGCCGGTGCTGCCTACGTTCACTGCGGGACCCGTCGTCGCTTCGGCAGTGGTCCCGAGTGACCTCTGTCATGTCTCACTAGGCCTGCCTGCCTAAGGCACTCGCGACCGCATGTTCTACAGCACCATGCGCTGTAGGACATGCGATGTGAAATAATACACCGCAGTTAACACGTATACTTCCTGCAGCGACTTTCTCACGTGATAAACTAAGCCCGCTGACGAACGAAGAACACATGCCTACATACATATAACATATTACACAAAGAAAAAATAGATGCAACAGCTGCATGCCAGCTGAGCTACCAGCAACGGATAGGCATCGTTCCGGTAAGCTTCCAGCCAGCTACTGGGCAAAAAGAAAAATATTATTATTATTTTTACCCTAGGAAATGAAATCGTAGATGGAGGGAGAGACTAAAAGGGATGGGGAGGGACAAAGAAACTCACAACGGGAACGCCACTGAGGTCGGCTCTTTGCCATATCAGCAAGTGTATCCAGCCAAACGTGATCACCGTCTTTTGGACCCCAACCAGGGAGCCGTGAAGCTCCAACCGAGGCTAGCTCCGAAGTAATGGACTTCATTCCTCTGGACCAAGTCATCGCTTGGCCACCTCTCCTCTTCTTCCACCCACATCCCCGGTGAGCAAACAACGCAAGTCGCGGGAGTCGGTGGGATGGCATGCGTAACACGTGGCCGAGCCATCGGAGCCTGATGCGGGTAATAACGGTGCTGAGCGGTTCAGATCCTTTTCCTGGGGCAGCCGTACACACTTATCATGAGTAGTAAAGAAACGCGGGTGGTAAAAGCAGTAACCTGTGGCATCAGGTTTTGTGCGACGGGGCGGTGGCCCAGAGCGATTGCAATGCTTACGGTTTAACGTGAGTTCCTCGATCTGGCACTGAAGCGCCGCTATCTGCAATGCTAATGCATCTATGCCGACGTCCAGCCAGTCGCGGGAGTCGGTATGGTTGCGCCAGCACAATGTTGCATAGGTGCTTTGCTTTCAGTCTATGGCTTGTGCCGTTCGATGACGCGGTCTGATTGATATGCAATTGTTGTTAGTGGCAGGTCACTTGCTGCTGCCAGGATAGCCTGAGTGCTTTCAGGAAGGCGTTGCATCCATAGGTCGCGCAAAACACCTACGTCCACGTTGGAGGTGCCGATGAGCAGTTGCATTTCGCGCAACGAGTCTGAGGGCTCCTAGCTCCCAGTTACAGATCATCAAACAGTTGCTGCAGTCGAACCTTGTCAGAGGGCGTGCTGCACTGGATAATAGCCTGTTTAGCAGTCTCGCATTTCATTACTAGGGGAGGCAAAATATGCCTTCTCTCATCTGCGATCATATACTCTGCGGAAGGCGAGATATTAACTGGTTATACCCGGCCAAATCAGAAGCAATCCCATGAATATAAAATATGGATTCTAGGTGCCAACACCATAACGAAGGACCATTCTCCCAAACAGGGGCTTACGCAACCGAATAGATCATGACAGGCTCAACGGCGTTAACCGCGCGTGGAGACGGCTTATCCTGTAGATAATCCATTGCAAGAAGCAGTTAAAAATTGAGTTGGGGAGAAAACAAAATGATCACAAGTAATGAATCACAGAAGCACTGGGACGAGCACATCAGAATAAAAATTCAACACGTCGGACGGCGTGTTCCTGCCAGCGGTCACAAATTGTTGGGCGGTACCTGGAATACTAGTCGGTAAGCAATATAAACAAATAAATATTTATTCTCGACTATGCGAGGCACGCCCATGTAGGCATGATACAAAACAGTATACAGTATAAAAGACAGTATAGGAGTCGGAGGCGACTGAACCCAACGCATAGTGTGCGGGCTACAAAAATAGTAAGGGAATCGGCCGGAGCAAGCAACGCTTCTTGCCAACGGATGGAGGTTAAAACAACCGCAAAATCCAATATGGCAAAATACTGAAAGGGCGTGATTTCCGGTACATTACAAGTCTAAGGGTGTTACAAATAATGTTAAAATTGTTAGCCGCGGATGGGATGCTGCAGCAGATTTTTATTGAGCGTCTGAATTTAGCCTTCGTTGGTACTAAATGCTGGCGCACACGATGGCCCTAACTTTGTGTGCTCGGGAGATTTTTCGGGCACATATCAAGCCTTTGTGCAGGTATGGTGGGAAGATTGTCACATTTGTTTGAAAAAGTAATGCAGCACCTGTCTTTAAACGCTATGAAATTTCGGGATGTGCACTGGTTCGAATCGCGAACCGCCCTCTTCCACGTACCCTAAGCACGGCCACCCATTTCCTGCCTACATATCCCCTGGTGCCCTATCTTTAGCAATACCTAGACTTTTAAGTTCAATAAATCTTTCCCAATTTTAATTTTGTTGTTCTACTGATCATATTGATTTGGTGGCCTATCTGAGTATTAGGTATATGGCAAACGCCCCACGCGCTATACCCTGGGGTTGCATCCGCATCCGTGTTTACCGGGACACGCGATTTAACGTGGAACTCAGGGCAGAAGTATAAGACTACACAACGGAAAGACGACAGCAGTAAATACCGAAAATAGGTTGTATAGCGGTATTCTATCTGGGAACAATTGGAAGTTACCGCTAGGTGTAGGTGGACGCTTAGTCTAGTTAAATTTAATAGATCTAAGTCGCCTCGAATGAAGGAATAATGGATAACAGTCAAAAATTATTATACGCCTGTATTCAAATACTGTATTCCACTATAATACAGCTACAAACTTGAATGGTTTCGCATGCCAAAAGCATGAGTTGCCGATGCGTAGCACATAACAGGAACAAAAGTGTAAAGTTATCGTCATTTTAAACATACATACATGTTAATAAACTTATTCTACGAAATGCACTACCTTAAGCTATTTTACAAGTGTTTGTTTATGCTAACAAAACACCCAGACGGATAACGCAAATATTAGACGAAATGCTGTGATTTCGCTTAAAATCTAGCTTCGACGGCAACAAGGTGCGGTTTTGTGCTACATGGTTTTGGTAGTAAACTAAGAAACCATTGCTTTTAAACAATGCGTTTTTAGCCATCTTTTGCGGGGAAATGTGGGTTGGGCTCTGTTCAATTGCAATTTGCGTGTCATAATACACAATCTTCTAACTCTGCAATCTCACGGCACGCCCGTTTTGTTAATATCTAAATGGCTACCTCTTAAACGTGCATATGTTTTCTTATAGTTTAACCAAATTTTCAATCCTGCGTGTATACGCAAAGCATAAGACCTGTACCTAAAATTATTGTCCTGTTATTTTTCGTTTATCAATGCTTACATTGATTTGAATTTTTGTCATTTTTCTGTTTGCAAAACCATAAGAATTGTATTGTATAGAGTTGTTATTGCTACCCACCCAGTAGGAGTAACCGATGTGTATACGTAGTTCAGTGCGTTCATTGAGGTAAGGAGAGCAAGACATCCCTGTCAGCACAAGTGTACAGCTAGCCGTTCCATTTAGGTCTATTTTTGGTCACTCGCAGAGGAAAAAATTAATGCAAATTAATGCCCAGATATGATGCTAAATAACATTGTATACTTCTAGCACCTCCGTTCTTTGCCTAAACGGCATTACTTCTTAAGAATACTGTAATTACAGCCAGCGCAAAAGACCGCCTGAGCTCCTTAACTTACGAGGTTTTGTGCATTCTGTTGTCCCAAGTGCACACTTTTGGATAACTTTTAATCATTCGAATGCATCCGGCCTCAGCTTAACGGCTATAGTTGTATGTAATTGTAAGTTGAGAATGGATTTCGGCTTAATGTTGACAGTATTTGCAACCAGGCAAAACGTGTGCATGAGTGCATTATGAGCGACAAAATGTCGTAAAATATGAATCATGTAGTTATAAACACAGCTTCGTTCCACCTCAAGGAAAAGTCTGAAAAAGACGAATATATTGGCGAGATAGATGTTTAGTATCGAAAGGTACAATCCTGCTAATTAAAGGCACCGTCCTAGCTAAAGTAAAGGTACAGTCGCCAGTCGAGAATCAACAAACGCTCTGCGAGGTGGTAAAGCGAAAAACGTGCGTAATGCGATTCGTCCGGTGGACTCAGACACTTGTCGTCATTCGAACAGGCAAGCTTCTTAAGTTGTCTATATACAAAATGATATTAGCTTTTAATAGTATTCTACTCAGACAAACAGGGAAATATCCAGGTCACTACAAATGCCTTTGCTAGAAGGGAACCGTGAGTGACCCTTTGATCTACCCGAGGATTGTCCTTCGCGATCCAGCCTTTTACTAGACCAGGCGGTGAAACCCGATACGGCTACAGGAGAAGAATCAGGTAATCGGACCGTAGCGGGCTGTCACTCGGGTTCTCCATAAAGGTGTACAGAAAAACAAAGAAAACGTTCGTAGCGTACGGGCACTTGGGTTCGACCACGAGTGAGGATACTCCGATCCGCAATATGGAAAGAAAAAGAAACGGGGTGGTCAGTTATGCAGAAAAAACGGTAGCAATGAACGGGAAAGCCACTTGCCGAATATGCAGCGAAAAATCAAAGCAACAACTCTTTTCGTCGGTTTCAAAAGGGTTTTTCGGTTTTTTCTTTTAGTTTTCAACGCTTTTGCAATTTGGTTGGTTTTCAAAATATCTTGCGCCTTTTGCGGTTTTCGGAGGGTACTGACCCGAATAAAAACCTGAACACGCCGTTAGAATCAAAAACGCTAAGCTATCATTCTAAGAAACGTGTCGGCCAGTGAACGAAACGGCCAGCTATAATAAGCTTTGTAGGCTTAGCGGTGTCTGTAGGCACAGGGACGGGTTTGCAGTTGAGGTTTTTGCTGTCGGCATACGTTTCCTTCACCCTCGGCTGGATTCATTCCTTGCGAGACGAAGGATTGGAGTCGTGGTTGGACGCTGGTTTAACGTAAGCAATTTTGTGGTGGTCGATTGAGACAGGTTCGCGCTTTCCGTTGCATTTGCTGACAAAGAAGCGATGCTAACCTTGTAGGGCTATCTATAGAATTAAAGACTGGTAGCTCAGGTTGTTCAGATGGCAGTTGAACTGTTCGCTGAGCTTGGCAATTTGGTTGAAAACGTTTCGTCACCAATCGAGGTGACGTCATCGGTGCGTAGTTGAGTAACGTGCAAAGCTATGAATGGACCTTTGTAAGTTTGTTCGAGTGTTCTCCATGTAAACCGGTCGTGATATCCTGTATGTAAGGAAGCAGATATCGGTCCAGAAATGTTACAATGTAGAGCACGTGGTAATCGCCACATGCTCGTCAGTCTCCTAACTATTTTGACACCAGATGCGGTGGCGAAGACCAAGGGCTGTTGGACTGTCGGACGATTCCAAGTTCAAACATGTACTCGTATTCCGCACGGGCGGTTTTGCGTTTGTCCGGAGTCAACCTTTGGACGTTGGCGGAGACAGACGGACCCTTAATAAGTATGTGCTGCTTAGTTACTGTGGCGGCAGTTGTCAAAGGCGATACAGGTCAAAAGACTTCGGAAAGACACTCAAGCAGCGATTTGCCGGCCATTGAGTTGGCAATAGCATACACCGGGTCGGGCGATGCTACATCACTAGCTTTTCCAGCGACCGAAAGTTTCGTTGCCTGATCGATTAGAAGTTGTCTTTCAGCGTTGACGAGCAAGTCAAAGTGCTAAAGTAAATGCATCTCATTTATGTGATTCTTGACGTTCGCAAAAAGGAATATCCACCTAAAAGAACGTTGAAGCTCGATGTTATGTGTGCGCACATGTTGACCGTACATGTTAATGCCGGTGCCGTTGGCTACGCGTATAATAGCGGTCATCTTTCTGGTTACGTTGTTAGGATCATCAAGAAACACGCTGACTTTTCTCCAGAATCGACGAGATAGCGAACTCCCGTTTATCGATCGATGACGAAGAATAAACAGCTGTCTTGACCAGCCACGTGTCGCCTCGCCGTGCTGGTCGCCTGTTTCTCTGCCCGTTGCACTTAAAGGAACCTGGTGTGTGGCACGATCTGGCATGTTGACCGAATCGTTGATGACACCAGCGGTAGGAAGAAGTTTGGCGCAGTAATTACGACCAAGCTTTTGATCAAGGTGGATGTTGACGACCTAAATCTTGGCATCGGCAGCTACTCTGAGAAGCTGCAAAGTCGGTAAACATCTTGGTGCATACGGCAATCTGCGTTTTTATTCCTGAGATATCGCCAGCTGGCGTAGAGAGCTTGTGGGAATGCTGTCCATACGATTTCCAAATTTGATCCGCGATATTGGCCACCAGCTCAGTGTTGCGCTGGCATTTGCGTAAAGTATACCGCATATTTCACGCGGCAATCTACGCAACCACCTTTTCTTGCGAAATGCGTCGTCTAAAGTGGCGGGTTTGGCTAAATTTTGCATCCTCCGTAATAGCTGCGATGCCTTGTGGTCACCCAACTCCGGTTCGCTTAGAAGCTTTGTAACATGCTGACGATCATAAAGACCTGTTCTTTTGAGAACCGGTGCTTTTATTTCCTCGTACGTTTTCCACCCAGCTGGCGGTCGAGGATATCGTCGATGTCGTCCTCGACGACGCTGAAATATTTAATCCTTTCAAATCTCATGCCTAGCAGTTCGAAAAGTGACTCTAACTGAGCAAACCAATGTTCTGGGTTGCTTTCGCGAAATGGCGGAGTGGCAGTGGTTACATTTTTGATCTGGCTGTCAAGAACTAGATTCCAAGCGTCCATAGCAAAAACGACACAAAATAAGCAACATGCAACCCAAAATATGCACAATAGTGAAAATAAATGGACGTACTACGGGAGTTAACGAACCTGCAAATAACAATAGTAAGCGTATTACCAAAGTTTTGGTCGGGGTTACCATTTATGGCGAAATCGTTCGGTCTCTATAGAGCCAGCTTTGTTCCACCTCAAGAAAACTTCTGAAAAGAACGAATATATAGGCGTGATGGACGTTTAAGGTCAAAATGCACAGTCACGCTAAACAAACATACCTTTCTACATAAAGGAAATGTATAGCCGCCATCCGAGAAGCAGCAAACGCACTACGAGGTGGTAAAGGAAGAAGAGTTCGAAATGCAATTCGTCTGGTTGACTCAAACCTGTCATCATTCGTACAGGCAAGCTGCTTAAGTTGTCTAGGTACAAAAGGATATTACATTTAATGTTATTCCACTCAAACAAACAGGGGAACCTTCAAATCAGTACAGTTGTTCAAAAGGTGTCCAACTGTGACGACCAGGGGCACAAGCGTTAGTCACTCAAGTTGCTCTAACCTCACTTCGGCGGACGCTTGTTGGTTTCTCATGCGAACTGGGGACCTCTGTTAGCCTTATCAGCTCTAGTTCAGCACTAGAAGCACTATATCGTCGCAACCTGGTAGGTTTAGTATGCAAAGGTAATGTTAGTTCCAGGACTTTCGTTAGATGACTTTTGCTCTTCGTTTTCCATTCGCTCTTGCTTTAGTTTATGACTAGTGAAACTATTGTTTTTCCTTCTCCCTTATATTGCGCTAGCTTTTGTCTATCAACCTCCTTACGCGTAAGTGGGTGTTGTAGTGGTTATTAATCTTTCAAAGTTTGTCTTTTCTGTCATCAATTTTATCACAACATCTTTTGTACGGTTTGTTTGTATTAATGAGTACGATACACTGCTTCATGCCCCGCGTTCCGACGTGCTGATTTTTGGCTGGGCTGCTTCTGCTTGCGTACGGTGCTGACCAGTCTGCTTGCGAATCGAATGGTAGACTCGGAATTACTATCGAACGTCCAGTTCCATTGTGTTCGACGTGTGTTACAGGTATAGCGCAACCTACGAATCTAACTCAACTGTGGTTAGGCTGTGAGTTGACTCTTCAATTTTTCGATCCTTACTAAGGGACTGAAACCTTCCTAGTATTCTTTCAACCACTACATAAATTGCGGACCCAGTCATAATTTTTTGCGAACACGTATTTTTTCTTAGTCATGTCTGACCAGACCCCATGTGTTTTTACGGACAATTTCG